ACGACACTCAGCAAGACCTCCTGGCTGCTCAGTGTAAGGAGAAGGAGCAGGTAGCGGTGAGCCAGGCTGTAACGGAAGACCAGTAGACGACGGGAGGCTAAGAATCTGGCGAAGCACGGAGTCAGGCGGTGGCAGAGACGACGGAGATGGCGGAGCAAAGAACAGTCGTGGTTGCGCAACGCCACCAGCACCAGCAGCTCCAGCACCACCAGCACGTCCAGCACCTCCAGCAGCTCCAGAACCTCTAGCTCCAGCTCCTCGAGCGCCAGCACCACCAGCAGCTCCAGAACCTCCAGCGCCAGCACCTCCAGTTTCAGTGTCACCAGCAGCTCCAGAACCTCCAGCGCGGGCACCTCCAGTACCAGCGTCACCAGCAGCCCCAAGACCTCCAGTGCCACCACCACCAGTACCAGCGTCACCAGCAGCCCTAGAACCTCCAGCTCCAGCACCTCCCATACCAGCGTCACCAGCAGCAGTACCCCCAGAACCGGCACCTCCAGTCGTAGGGTCTCCCGCAGCGCCCCCCCCAGACTCAGCACCGCCAGCCCCAGCAGCTCCAGTACCTCCAGTACGAGCACCTCCGCAGCGACTCCAGCACCTCCTGTAGACAAAGTACCAGCACCACTCCCAGCTGCAGAGCCCCGAGCTCCAGCAGCGCGACCCTGACGGCTAGCGTACCACTCGTGCAGCTGCTGAAGGGAGAGAGGCGCACTCGGACGAAGGCGGCCAATCCAAGGAGACCGCGCTCTAGCAGTCTCAGTACCCTCAGGCGCCGCACCCCCAGACTCAGCACCCCCAGACTCCTCACGCCCAGGCTCAGCACCCCAAGACGCAGCACCCCCAGGCGTAGTACCTCCAGCCTCCTCACGCTCAGGCTCAGCACCTCCAGGCTCCTCACGCTCAGGCTCAGCACCTCAAGGCTCCGTACCCCCAGGCTCAGCACCCCCAGGCTCCTCACGTCTAGGCTCCGCACCCCCAGGCTCAGCACCCCCAGAGACAGCACCCCGAGCAGGACCACCCCCAGCAGGACCCGAGTCACCAGTTGTCAACATATATTTTATATGTGTTGTTTAGGTTAGTCTAGGTGTTACATTTCTACTTCCTTGCATGATTAGGGTTTGCTATATCTTAACATGGTATAGAGCTAGGTTTCCCCTACGCGATTTTTCCCCTAGGCGATTTTTCCCCTAGGCGAAATTTCTCTCGATAGTCTATGGGCCCACCACCCGCGCGCTTCGTAGCGACCCGTAGCCCGAAGCGCCCTGCCCCGTAGAGCCCGAGTAGGTCGCGCCCCCCCGTCGCCATCGCGTCACCCGTTTCTGCCCTGCGCCCCACCCGTTTGTGCCGTGCGTCACTCAGTTTTCTGCCCGGCGCCCCACTCGTTTTACCCCGCGTGTTGCCCCCCAGCCCTCTAGCGCGCAGCAGACGAACGCGCGTAGCTGCGCGCGCAGCCTTAGTCGTACCCGCAGCCCCGCGCTAGTACGTCGTAGCCGCGCGCACGTGCAGCCCACCGTCGTAATCGGCCCCCAGACCTGAAATCCCCCGCCGAACCTGGAGACCCGCCGCCCCAGACCTGAAAACCGCCGCCCCAGACCTGACAACCGCCGCCCCACCTGGAAACCTGCTGCCCCCACCCGTTCCAGGCACCTCACCCGGGATCAGCCGCCCCACCCAGTCGTCTCCACCGCATTGAACCGCACATAACTGCACATAACTGCACAGAACCGCCGCCTTAACAGCTTCCCCACCTGAAAACCGCCGCCCCAGACTTGACAACCGCCGCCCCACCTGGAAACCTACTGCCCCACCCGTTCCAGGCACCTCACCCGGGATCAGCCGCCAGCGCACCAGCAGCAGCTTAGGCTACCGCCAGCGCACCAGCAGCAGCACAGGCTGCCCCCAGCGCACCAGCGGCAGCGTAGGCTGCCCCCAGCAGAACCAGAAGCAGCATAGGCTGCCGCCAGCGCACCAGCAGCAGCATAGGCTGCCCCCACCGAACCAGCAGCAGCATAGGCTGCCCCCAGCGCACCAGCAGCAGCTTAGGCTACCGCCAGCGCACCAGCAGCAGCACAGGCTGCCCCCAGCGCACCAGCAGCAGCGTAGGCTGCGCCCAACAGAACCAGAAGCAGCATAGGCTAGCGCACCAGCAGCAGCATAGGCTGCCCCCAGCGAACCAGCAGCAGCATAGGCTGCCCCCAGCGCACCAGCAGCAGCTTAGGCTACCGCCAGCGCACCAACAGCAGCACAGGCTGCCCCCAACGCACCAGCAGCAGCTTAGGTTGCCCCCAGCAGAACCAGCAGCAGCATAGGCTCTCATGGCGTGTACTAGGGTTCTACAGCAGCAGGGCCAGCCACAGCACTCCCGTCAGTGGGGGCCTGCGGGTCCAAAGTGTGGCGCCCCCAGTAGTGGCTCAGCTAGCAGTGGGCGAGACGTCGGCCCCTGCGGGTACCGGGCCCTGACAGGCCCTGGTGCTGGTACTACCTGCTGGAGTCCTGACCACACTGCGTCCAGCTGCTACCGTCGACTCGACGACCTCCACCGTGAGCATTTTGTTCCTCACGCTATTACACCGCACTGGCCTTCGCACCTTCGCCAGCGCACTACTGCACCAGTTGAGTCTCACCTACCTGGTCTAGGACCTTTTCCGGCTGCACGAGTAGAGACCTGTGTTTCCAGTCTTGGTGCGTGTGTTGTTTCCAGTCCAGGCGCCTCTGAGGGTCTTTGTGTAGGAGCTGCAGCTACCACTAGTCTAGCACTAGCCTTTGTGGCTGGTTCGGGTGCGACCCCACAAACTGCACAGCTTTCCTTCACCCTAGACTCCGGAGCGTCCAGCTGTTTCTTTCGCGACTGTACTGACCTCACACCACTGCGCACTCCAGTCACTGTCGCCTTGGCTGACCCCTCTGTGGGACGTGTAGTTGCTAGCAGCACCACCACTCTTCCGTGTCCGGCGGCTCCCTCAGGTTTTCTTACAGGTTACTACACCCCCTCATTCTCTAGGAACCTGGTGGGTGTCAGTCACCTCCACGACCTAGGCGTAGTCACTACTTTCCCACTGGACGAGCCTGTTGCCTCCTGCACTGTCGGTGCCACTGGGGCGCCTCTGGCCACTTTCCACAGAGAGTCGGGATCTGGTCTGTACTCACTACACACTGGGTCCCACCACACTGAGTCGGGTCAGGTCAGGTAGCTGCTGTGTCGTGCGACTGTCGGTCACTACCGTGGCTACCGTCCTCGAGCCATGGCTCCTAGCGTGGGGTGGCGCCCAGGGCCTGTGTGGGCTTCGCCTACACTCGGACCGTGGTGGTGAGTTCTCTTCCACTCGCCTAGAGACGTTCTGTCAGGGTCGGGGAGTCATTCAGTCGTGCACGCTACCAGCCTCGCCGCAGCAGAACGGGGTAGCCGAGCGTCGCATCGGCCTGGTCATGGAGATTGCCCGGACCACCATGTGCCATTCCGGTGCCCCTCAGTTTTTGTGGCCTCAGGCAGTCCGCTACGCCGCGCACCAGCTGAACCTGTGGCCCAGTGACGCACGGCCACGGGTGACGCCGGTCTCTCTCTGGTCAGGTTTACAGGGCGTAGCAGCTGACTTCCGCGTATCGGGTTGTCTGGCCCACGTTCGCGCCCCTGGCGCGAACAAGTTGTCTCCGCGCACTCGTGCCTGCGTCTTTCCTGGCTTCCCTTTGGACGCCTCCGGCTGGGTGTTCTACGACCCGGTCACCTGCGGGTTCTTCGCTTCTCAGGACGTCACGTTCGACGAGTCTGTCTGTTACTATAGGAGTCGCCCCCACCGAGGTACTGAGGACTTTTCCCCCCCGCTGTTCCTCACCCTTGAGCCCCCCCCAGTCGCCCCGGTAGCCCCCCCCGCTTCGCGTCCTGCCCCGTCAGGTGTGTCGCACATCACTCCGCAGTCGTCCCCCCCGCAGCGTCCAGTCCCTGTCGTGTCTGGGGGTGTGGGAGGTGCAGTTTCGGAGGGTGCGGGTGTTGGGGCTGCAGGAGCTCGTGGTGTCGGTTCAGGGGGTGCAGTGGGTGTGGGCGTGGAGGTCGCTCCTGTGGAGGGCACGGCAGCCTCGAGTCGGCGGCCTCGCCCCTCGTCACCCCCCGGCTTCCCGGTCGTCCCGCAGTTCCCTCCTCGTTCTCCTCTGCGGGCGGTTGCTGCGGAGCTTGGGGGTGCTCCTACGGGAGGTACTGGAGGCCCCGGGGGTGTCGCTAGTGGAGGTGCTGGTTCAGGTAGTGTTGGAGCTGGAGGCACTGGCACTTTGGCGCCTACACCTTGCACTGTACGTTTCCTGACCCGTGAGCGGCGTCTCCTCCGGTTGGAGAGGGAGGAGCGTGAGCGGTTTGAGAGGGCACAGCAGCAGCAGCAGCAGGAGCAGCAGCGGCAATCGCAGCAGCACCAGCAGCGGCAGCAGCAGCAGCTACAGCAGCGGGAGAGAGTAGAGGAGGAGTCACAGCAGCAGCACGAGAGGGTAGAGCAGGAGTCCCGGTCGCAGCAGCGGGTGCAGCTGCAGCCGCAGCAGGAGAGGGTAGAGGAGGAGTCACGGCCGCACCAGGAGAGGGTAGAGCGAGAGTCCAGCCCACAGCAGCAGGTGCAGTTACAAACCCAGCAGGAGAGAGTACAGGAGGAGTTACGGCCGCACCAGGAGAGGGTAGAGCAGGAGCCCCACCCGCAGCAGCAGGTGCAGTTACAGGCCCCGCGGGAGAGAGTACAGGAGGAGTCACGACCTCAGCAGGAGAGGGTAGCGCAGGAGTCCCGCTCGCAGCAGCGGGTGCAGCTGCAATCGCAGCAGGAGAGGGCAGAGGCGGAGCCACAGGAGCAGCAGCAGGGGCCGATGCCGTCGCAGTAGACGCCAGAGGAGGCGGAGCAGCACCGACTGCGACTACACGACCTCCCCGACCCAGCACCTGCACGCTTTGTTCGTGGTCCCCTACCGTCCCCTCCTGTTCCCCCTGTTGAGTCCCTTTCCTCATCCCAGTGGACTCGTCGTTCTCCCCTCAGTCGTGCTGTGTCCCCAGAGCGTCGTCGGTCCCGTTACCATGCAGACGGTCCGTTCCACCTTGTTCTTCGCTCTCGTGTTCCACCTCCTCCTGTCCTTCCACAGCCCCCTGAGTCGTTCCTCACTGTGCTTCACGACCCGTTGTCCGACTACCTCCGTGCCTCCCATCCTGTCGTCTCCCGTGTTTTGTCCGCGTTGGTCACTCACCCGACTGCACCTCTTTCGTCTGTTTCGGCACTTGTTACCACTGTCGCTGGCTTTGTCTCTTCCCACCGCCTTGACTACGCCGCTCACTTGGTGAGTGGCCCTGCTCGTTCTCCGTTCTCTGGGGGTGCTCCTGTTTTTCCCCTAGAGGTCCTCGAGGACAGGCAGTTCGAGCTTGGTTTTCTTACGGCCGCTGTTCCTCATCTCTGCGCCATGTTGCTTGCCCCTGAGGGGGATCCAGACGCTCTTGACATCCCGATCCCTCACACTCACGCCGAGGCGGTATCGGGACCCTGGGCTTCGTACAGAATAGCAGCTGAGGAGGCAGAGATGGCATCTTATAGGTCCACAGGCACTTACGTCGACGCAGTCCCACCACCTGCGACGAACGTCGTCAGTGGCCGATGGCTCTACAAGGTGAAGCGGCCGCCTGGATCACCACCTGTGTTCAAGGCACGCTATGTGGCGAGAGGCTTCAGTCAGCGAGAGGGGGTGGACTTCTTCCAGACCTTCGCTCCCACCCCGAAGATGAGTACTCTTCGGGTGTTGCTGCATGTTGCAGCCCAGCGCGACTACGAGTTGCACTCCTTGGACTTCTCCACCGCGTTCCTTCAGGGGAGCCTGCACGAGTAGATCTGGCTGCGTCGCCCGCCTGGCTTCACTGGCTCTTTCCCACCTGGGACCCAGTGGCAGCTGCGTCGACCAGTCTACGGCCTGCGTCAGGCTCCACGTGAGTGGCACGACACACTTCGCTTGACCCTTGCAGCGCTTGACTTCTTTCCGTCGTCTGCTGACCCGTCACTGTTCGTTCGCCGTGGCTCGACCCCGTTCTTTATCCTGGTCTACGTCGACAACCTGGTGTTCGCCACTCCCGACCGACGCGCGCTGGCCTCCGTGAAGGAGGAACTGCAGAGGAGACACACTTGCACTGACCTTGGTGAGCTGCAGCACCACCTTGGCCTGCAGATCACTAGGGACAGGGCAGCTCGCACCATTACGCTGTCTCAGTCGCATATGGTCGAGCAGATCCTCATGCGGTTTCGCTTCCCGTTCTCCAAGGTACAGCTCACCCCTCTTGGTGTGGATCATGGGCTCACGGCTCCACCTTCGGACGAGTCATTTGAGTCCAGTGGTCCATATCCTGAGCTGGTGGGTTGTCTCATGTACCTGATGACCTGTACTCGCCCAGACCTAGCTTACCCTCTTAGCGTACTTGCGCGCTTTGTTGCGCCTGGGAGACACCGACCGTCCCACTGGTACGCGGCTAAGAGGGTGGCGAAGTATGTGGCGAGTACATCAGGCATGGGACTTGTCCTTGGAGGGAAGCAGCCAGTTACACTTACAGGTTACTCGGACTCGTCGTGGGCCGACGACGCGGAGACGCGTCGGTCTACACAGGGGTACTCCTTAAGCCTCGGGGCAAGTGCTGTTTCGTGGCGGTCGACTCGGGCGTCGTCCGTCGCCGGTTCCAGCTGTGAGGCAGAGGTGTACGCTGCGGCCATGGCAGCTCAGGAGCTTTGCTGGCTGTCTTTCCTTCTCACCGACCTTGGTGAGCGGCCTCGCTCTCCCCCAGTCTTGTTCGCCGACAACAGGTCTGCCATCCTGTTGTGTGAGGAGCCCCGACTGGTTGGGAAGGCGAAACACATCCAGCTTCGTTATTTCCTTCTGCGTGAGTTGCAGCAGCGTAGTCAGGCACTCGTACGACGTGTGGTCTCTGAGGCCAACACTGCAGATATCTTCACCAAGGCGTTGCCGCCTTGTGATCACCAGCGTTTCTGCACCCAGCTTGGCCTTGTGCGGGCCCGTCCTCACTTGCTTACGTAGATGTTTTGTCCTTATTGTCTTGTACTCTTGCATCTCAATATATTTGCTATATACCTGCATGTGAACTGGCCTTGTGGCTGTTTTGCTTGCTCTCGGACTGTGTGGTGACTTTGAGCTCCACCCTGAGATTTGTCTTGTTCTTGTGGACTGGTCTTGTGACCCTTGCTTGTTTTTGTTCTTGCTGACTGGTCATGTGACCCTTGTTTGCTCTCAGACTGTGTGGGTCCTTGAGACCCACCTTGAGATATGTGTTGTCTTTCCACGGGGTTACCGTCACCTAGACTATGGGGGTGTGTCAACATATATTTTATATGTGTTGTTTAGGTTAGTCTAGGTGTTACATTTCAACTTCCTTGCATGATTAGGGTTTGCTATATCTAGGGTTGTACTTCACATTTTCTATCCATCTCATTCTTATCTTAACACCAGTGACCTCAACAGGCGCAGGCACGGGAGGGTCTACTTGAGAAACACCTGAAGGAGCAGGACCTGGCGCGGGGTGGGAGTCTACCTGGGGAGGACCTGGAGCAAGAAAGAGTGGCGGGAGGGGGCGAGGGGCAGTGCAGTAGGGAAAGAGACGGTAAAAGGGGACTGACTCGTCAAAGGTGACGTCCTGAGATGGAAAGACACGGCGCGAGGCGGGGTCGTAAAACTGCCAGCCAGGCGCGTCAGGGACAAAGCCAAGGAAGACGCAAGGAATGGCGCGAGGGGAGAGCTTGTCCGAAGTGGTATCGGGGACAAAGGCACGCGCACCCCAGACTCGGAAACGCGACACATCGCCAACCTTCCCCGTCCAGCGCAGTGTGGGCGAAGTCTCTGGCACGGAGACACGGGGCCAGAGGTTGAGCTGATGCGTGGCGTACCGGACCGCAAACGGCCACAGAAAATGGGCGGCAGCCGCATGGATCATGGAGGTACGAGCGACCTCCATGACTAAGCCAATGCGGCGCTCAGCAACCCCATTCTGCTGCGGAGAGGCCGGAAGAGTGAATGTCTGGCGGATGCCGTGCTCCTCACAGTAGGCTCGCAAGAGGTCGGAGGTAAACTCACCACTTCTGTCAGAGTGCAGACGCAGGACAGGAAAGTCCGAGTGGAACCGCTCGTGGAGCTGGAGACGAACAGCGCGGATCCAAGGGATCAAAACATCAGGGACCTCTTCCTTGCGCTGCAAGGGGAAGACCGTGGTGTAACGCGTGTAGTCGTCGACTACCAGCAGGAAGTACCGCTCGTGGCCCTGTCCACGGACGCGGGCTGCGCCCCACATGTCCAGTGGAGCCTCTATGGGAGGGAAGGAGGAGGAGTGAGGAGCGGCGCGCCGCCGCCCCTCGACGCAAGGAATGCAGGGCAGCGCAGGCAAGGGAGGGAGGGAGGGCAGGGACCGAGGAAGACCAGAGACCAGGCGGCGAGAGTGCATGCCACGAAGGCGAGGCACGGAGGGGTGACCAAGGCGGTGGTGCCACAAGAGAGTCTGGTGCGACATGCTGCGACACTCACACTGGGTAGCTACCTGAGCGGACGCGTACAGCTGAGGAGACAAAGGGGTGGAGCGCGACGCAGTGGTGAGGGTGTACAGACTGGACCCACCCGCACGTGTGAATGTGGCCAGGTGACGGCCGGTCCGGGAGCACGTGCAGATCGCCACATGCTGCCCTCCAGGAGTAAAGGTGTCAACCCATTGATCCTGAAGGGCGACGTTGCTCACCAAGTTCCTAGAGAACGAGGGGAGATGGAGACCAGACAGCTCACCAGACGGGACCGCCGGACACGGAAGCACAGTGGAAGACCGTGCAAGCACTGGGCCCCCAGAGGGGTCAGCGAGTGAGACAGGGACAGTGGCAGGGAGGGGAGTGACTGTGGTGCTGTCGCGAAAGAAACAGTGGGAAGCACCAGAGTCAAGTGTAAAGGTGTGCAAGGCCTGTGCGGACGCAATACCAGGGGGAGCAGACTCACTAGCTCCTGAGAGAGCAGACTCACTTGCACTTGAGAGAGTAGACTCACTAGCACCGAGAGCGGCAACCTCACTAGTACCGAGAGCAGGAACCTCTATACCTGGGTCAGGCGGCACACACAGGTAACAGTCATTCTGAGCACGAGCTGAGACGCCCAACGCTGAGCAAACCACTCACGAAGCTCCTGGGGTGTAAGGGGCTCACGCGGGAGCCGCTGCAGCTGCACCAGGCCACCTCCAGAAACACCGAACGGAGGAGCTGCACCGCGACTGCCACTACGGCCACTACGCTGAGACGCCCAACGCTGAGCAAACCACTCATGAAGCTCCTGGGGTGTAAGGGGCTCACGCAGACGCCGCTGCAGCTGCACTAGGCGACCTCTAGAAACTCCCAACGGAGGAGCTGCACCACGACTGCCACTACGGCCACTACGCTGAGACGCCCAGCGCTGAGCAAACCACTTACGAAGCTCCTGGGGTGTAAGGGGTGTTGGTGCAACCCTACGGTTTGCACTCGGCTTGTTGTCCGTGTGCGTGAATGTGTGTGTGTATGGAATGGTATGAGGGCATGGGATAATATATATTTCATGCTTATAATTGTGTGTGAATGTTGAGTCATGATGTCGAGTGTGTGTGTCGAGTCAATAGCGAGTTATCGCTAGACGCGTGTTACGCGGTCGTTTGTGTCTCGCGCGCGGTTTCTATTTTGTCGTGCGCGGTTTCTATTTTGTCCTGTGTCGAACGTTCGGCGTGTCGCAGGTGTGTGCAGCAGACCCATCAAGAACTCAAGGATGAGTTTGTGATGAAGAGCCCGAGCCTTGGTGTCAAGCCTCAAGTGATTTCGAAGCTCGCCAAAAAGGGTACACCTCAAGATATTGAAGATAGTTACATTACTTTGTGTAGTGTAACATTTCACTTGGTGTAGGCCCTAGTGAAGGGTAGTTTCGAGACCCTTCGTGGTTGGGGACAGTGTGGCACTGTTCCACATCACTGTACCTCGGCTCTTGGGGTTTGTAGGAGCTGGGAGTCATTCCCAACTCGTAACTCTTCTATCTTGTGTTCTAAGACTATAGTGGCTGCCATAGTACCGTTCGTTCAAACCGACGCTGTGTCGTCAATTCTTTATCAAATCGTGCAATCTAAATTTCTAATTGTAGACGACGTGAAGACGCTCTAGATCCAATTTGAATCAATTCATTTGCAGCTGTGAGCAGAACGCTATCAACGTTTGAAGCCGCTGTGCAGAAATCCGTCTGTGCTCTCTATCTTTCGTTTTAGGCACATTCAAGCCTATTTGCAGCTGTGAGCTGCTGACGCGGCGCGCGGGGCAGCAGCGGGCTGCGCGGGCGGCGGAAGCGGCGCGCGAGGCAGCCGCGGGCTGCGTGAGGGCGGCAGCCGCGGCGCGCGGGGCTGCTGCGGGCTGCGCGAGCTGTTGACACGGCGCGCAGGGCAGCAGCGGGCTGCGCAAGGGTGGCGGACGCGACGCGCGGGGCAGCAGCGAGCTGCGCACAGAATTAAGGTTTGTGCGCGCGTGCAGCGCAGCGCAGGCAAGGCAGGGTGCGCGCGGGCAGCGCAGCGCAGGCAAGGTAAGGCGCGCGCGGGCGGCGCAGCGCAGGCAAAGCAAGGCAAGATGCAGGCAAGGCAAGGCGCGCACGGGCAGCGCAGCGCAGGGAAGGCAAGGCGCCCGCGGGCGGCGCAGCGTAGGCAACACGTGGGGCAGCTCAGTAACCACAACGGTAGGTGGGCCCGAAAAAACAAAACGGTCCTACGGACCTACTGCTCTGAAACCATGTCAGAATCTACAGGCAGGAATGAATGCACTATGGAAGAGTTGGGTACAAGTATGAAACTCTAAACGGGGCTGTACCCCATATTGGCTACCCCACTATAGCCTAACCATATATATCATACATATAATTTGACAGCTCCTGCCTGGCAGCGCATGACAACCTGATTGGGCCGCACGTCAGGTATCGCGTCAGCGGTGGCAGGTGCGTTGCTCCGGGACGGGTTTTGTGCGGTGGGAAATCGAATCGCGGCAAGTTTTGCCGTGATTCCATGCACGGCCCCCCACGCGCATGGTACAGTGTTGTATTCGCCTTATTAGGGGCTTCAGTTTGGTATCCTTAAAAGTAAAATTCATAATTGCCATTATAAGAGCGCCGGCGCTTATGGCCGTTACTCAATTACGTGCGCCCCCCCCCTAAAACAATGAATTTATTATAAGCGCATATGCGCTACTATCCGGGGCCAAACGGTATATCACAGGTGCTCATATTGCGCACTCTTCCTGGAGTGCGATTCTTTGGCTGCAACGTGCCCTGCATGGCTGGTTGGTGCACGGTGTGGGTTCTGGTCGGTTCTGCGCAGTGTGTGGGGGGGATGGCATGTACGGTACCAGAGCATGGAAAGTACCTTACCATGCTGGCAAACAAATCAAGTAGAATGCTCCTTTGTACACATGGATAGATACAATGGTGGGCATTCCAGGCATGACATTGCGCAGCCCTAGTCACAACCCCTCCCCTTGGGGTTGTGATACTTTCAGTAGGATGGCAATGCAAGCAGTCTACACGTGGCAGCGGTCCACAGCGCGCTTTGCCACAGGGCACGAGCAGGTCCCATAGGGTGAGTGCGAGCACAGCTGGTGGGGCCGTGCAGCAGACACCCCCCCTGCAGTAGCAGCAGCGGCAGCAACGGTGGCGATGGCGATGGCAAAGGCCCCTCGGCGGAACTGCAGGCGGAGGATGAGAGCGAGGCACACCGTCACCAGCGCATACACCACCACCAGCGCCGCCCACTGCAGCCGCTGCTCCTCCTGCATGCGCACTACCGCCGGGACCACAGCTGCTGCCACCGCTGATGGTGTTGGGGGCGTTGCTCCAGTGGCAGCCGTGGCTGCGGCTCCCTGCTCCTCCCTGCAGGCCGGCCGTGCAGGCATGGGAGGAGAGGGCGAGCAGAGAAAGTTAAGAGGGCGAGAAAAGGCAACGGAATCGGAGGCAATTAAAGCGTGACAGGTTCTTGCAGGATACAAGTAACAAACGGGAATACGGCTGTGAGTAATTGAGTGGGCTTGAGTGCATGTGTGTGCATGTGTGTGATGGGAAGCAGGGAGGCATGGCATGAGCAGCAACCTAAGAGTGAGGGTGATGGAGCGCATGACAGCCACATCAGAGCCCTCATGCACGCTCTGCTGCTGCCATGCGTGCATTGCCGCCCCCCCAAGCACTGACTTCACCATCTCTCCCACCATCCCATCCCCCCCTTCCTCCCCTCCATCCGCTTCTCCCTTCCCCACCCTGCCCATCTGCCCCTCGCCTGCACCTCTCACCCCTGCTGCTGCCCCTCCCACACGGCTCTCCTCGTGCCCATACTCTGCCTGCCATTGCTCGTGAGCCAGGGCGGCAGCAGCGTGTGAGGAAGTAGCGAGAGGCGAGTCAGAGAGGGCAGGAGTGCCGCCATGGTCAGGTGGGGAGCGGGTGGACGCAGCAGCAGCGGGCGGCAGCGTGTGCAGGGAGCAGCGCAGCAGCACGGGCGAGTCACCACTGCCTGCCTTCCCCACCGCCCCCTCTCCCCGCATGGCTCTCTGCACGCGCTCCCCCACGCCCTGGCACCGCCCCGCCCGCACCAGCCGTGCCAGGCGCTGTGCCTCGTGGGAGCAGGTGCGTGCCGGCGCTGTGCGGTGGGCGCGTGGCGAGGGGCAGTCGATGGTGAGGGACGCCGTGGTGAAGTGCCTCTGCCTCTGCTGCTGCTGACTGTCGTGCGCATCACCCGTGCTCCCACGGCCGTGGCCATCCTCCCCCTCTGGGCGCGGCGGGGAGGGCAGCAGCAGCGTGGAGGAGGAGAAGGCGGCCAGTGCCATCCGGGTGGGGCGCACGAGGAGGACGGCAGCCACCGCTGGCAGCAGCGCTGGCAGGACGGTGGGGAGCGGCGGGGTGGTGGAGACAGACGGCGGGAGTGAGAGCGGTGCTGCGGAAGCGGAGGGGGCAGAGGTGCTGGGTGGGAGTGGCGGCAGCAGGGGTGGATGGCGGGCAGAGAAGACGAGGTGCAGCAGCAGGTGCGTGTGGCTATGGCTCTGGCTGTGACTCTGGCTGTGGCTCTGGCTGTGACTCTGGCTGTGGCTCTGGCTGTGGCTCTGGCTGTGGCTCTGGCTGTGGCTCTGGCTGTGGCTCTGGCTGTGGCTCTGGCTGTGCTGCCCGTCACTCCCACCGCTCCACTCTGCTGCGCCCCTCTGCTCGCCCCCCTCCACCCCTGCACCTGACGCCGCCACACCATCCTGCTCGCCCCCATCCCCGTCTCCACCTGTTCGCCCCGCCCCCTCCGCCCTCCCGTGCGCCATTCCCCCGTCTGCCTCGCTGTCACCCGCGGGCGTCACTGCGCCCCCCACCGCCTCCTCCGCGTCCCACAGCACGCGCTGCCCGCCCCTGCCTGTGCAGCGCCACCGGATGGTGGTGTACTTCCTGGAAGCCTCCTTCACGATGCTCACGGGGGTGTGCGTGCACGACGACCACTGGCCGGCACGTGTGAGCGGGTGCTGCTGCGCTGCAGCAAGGACTACGTCCGTTCCACCATCGCTGCTGCCACCATCGCTGCTGCCACCATCACTGCTGCCACCAGCACCTCCACCTTCGCTCCCCTCACTCTCCTCCTCACCCTCTTCCTCATGCTCCCCTTCCCCCCCCACCACCTCCTCCTCCTCCACCTTCCCACTGCCCTCCAACTCCTCGCTCACATTCCATGACGCCAGCTCCGCCCTGCCCTCCCCACCACCGCCTGCCCCGCCTCCCAGCAACACAGTGCGACTCACTGCATCCCACCACCACTGCTCCTCGTTACCCGCCCACGCCCCTTCCAGAGCCGTGCTCTTTGCATCAGCTGCCCCTCTCATCTCCGCCCCCTCCAGTCCTCCACCCACCGCCTGCGCCTTCTCCTCATCCTCGCCCCGCCCTCCATTACCCTCCACTCGCTCGTCCCCCTCCCCTCCCTCCTCTGCATCCTCCCCTCCACTGCTGCTCCCCACCCCAATTCCAGCCTTCCCGGCAGCTTTCGCAGTGCCGGTACCCACCCTGCCACTGCGCTCATTACTTGGGCTGCCACCCTGGTCGGGCACGGCAGTAACCTCCGCAGAGGAGGGGCGCGGAGGAGCATGAGCAGCAGCGGAAGGAGAGCCTGCGAGTGGTGGGGCTTGGGGGCTGTGGGCGAGGGAGGGCGACGAGGCAGCAGCAGCAGGGGAGGGGCGCAGAGGGCAGTTGTGCGGGGCGAAGCCGATGCGGTGGTGCTCCCTGTCATACGTCACTCGCATGCCCCTCACCGCCACTCCTGGTGCCATGCATTCGTGCCACGTGGAATGAAGAAAGGACACCACAAATGCAAGGACATGAGTCAAGCGAACAGCACCAGTGCACGCACAGAGCTGGAAGCATGGTGGTTGCACAAGTTGCGATGTGTGGTGTGCCTTTTTGGCCCGAGCGAGCTTAGCCGGGGCCACCCATGAAACACCACAGTGCCACTACCCTTGAGCCTTGAGCTCGGCGCTCATGGCTGGTGGGTGCTGGCAGCTGGTTGCTGTGCGTCCGTGCTACAGCCGTGCACTCATGCCTCGCATGCACGGCTAAGAATACGGACACATCCCTCTGCCGCTCCACACGCAACACAAAGAATGCAAACACCACCATTGCGCCATGCCATGCCATGCCATGCCATGTGCAAAACACCATGGTTTGCCATAAGGCTTCACCAAGTCGCCACTTGGCCTCTTAGAGGCGCCTGGACACCTCTCACACAGCTCCCTCTGCCTCTCACACAGCTCCCTCTGCCTCTCACACAGCTCCCTCTGCCTCTCACACAGCTCCCTCTGCCTCTCACACAGCTCCCTCTGCCTCTCACACAGTTCCCTCTGCCTCTCACACAGCTCCCTCTGCCTCTCACACAGCTCCCCTCTGCCTCTCACACAGCTCCCTCTGCCTCTCACACAGCTCCCTCTGCCTCTCACACAGCTCCCTCTGCCTCTCACACAGCTCCCTCTGCCTCTCACACAGCTCCCTCTGCCTCTCACACAGCTCCCTCTGCCTCTCACACAGCTCCCTCTGCCTCTCACACAGCTCCCTCTGCCTCTCACACAGCTCCCTCTGCCTCTCACACAGCTCCCTCTGCCTCTCACACAGCTCCCTCTGCCTCTCACACAGCTCCCTCTGCCTCTCACACAGCTCCCTCTGCCTCTCACACAGCTCCCTCTGCCTCTCACACAGCTCCCTCTGCCTCTCACACAGCTACCTCTGCCTCTCACACAGCCCCCTCTGCCTCTCACACAGCTCCCTCTGCCTCTCACACAGCTCCCTCTGCCTCTCACACAGCTCCCTCTGCCTCTCACACAGCTCCCTCTCCCTCTCACACAGCTCCCTCTGCCTCTCACACAGCTCCCTCTGCCTCTCACCTCCGATAAGCGCCCCTCCACTGCCGTTGTCAAACACGCCCAGACACACCGCGTCCTCATGCTTCTTGTGCTGCTCACGTGGCAGGGAGGGGAAAGCGGAGGGTGCCAGTTGTGCGAGTGGTAGAGAGAGGATAGGCGAGGGCGAAGAGAGGAGAGGAGGTGGAGGGAAAGTGGCAGGTGCGCATGAGGTGCAGCGAGGTGGGAATGGGAAAAGAGGGGGAGGGCGGGGAAAGGGAAAGAGGGAAGAGGGGAAAAGGAAGGGGCGGATGGGGGAAGCAGGGCATGGAGCGAGGAGGAGCAGCGCACCTTGAAGAGGTAGTTGTGCGGCCGCAGGCGCAGCGCTGCTCCGTTGCCAAACACTACGGTGGCCGATGGGAACAGCCGGTTCATGCCGCCCGCGCTGATACAAGGAGGGGGGGGAGAGGAGATTGGGGAGAGGGGGAAGGGCACGGCAGAGGAGGTAGGGAAGAGATTGGATTGGGTGTTCTGGCGGGGTGATGAAGGAAGGGTTGGATGAAGTAAAATACAGAGAAGGCTCTTGCGGTGCTGTGCTGTTCGGTGCTGTGCTGTGCTGTGCTGTGCTGTGCTGTGCTGTGCTGTGCTGTGCTGTGCTGTGCTGTGCTGTGCTGTGCTGTGCTGTGCTGTGATGTGATGTGCTGTGCATGCAGTGAGCGGAGCGGCGTGCAGTGCAGCAGCGTGTAGCAGGAGCGGCAGTGCAGTGGAATGGGGCAACGACGCGTGCAAGCACAAGGTGGGGAGGCGCGCGAGGGGGGGCTCACGCGGAGACATTGGCGAAGCAGATGTCGGAGTAGCGCGCATCAGGGCCCGGCACCTGGGGGAGAGGCACGGCCGCCCGCACCTGATGGGCACAGCGATGCAGCAGGGCAAGGGCGGCATGCGGGGCGAGAGAGATGGGAGGGTGGGTGTGAGGCAGTGGTGGCAGGAGCATGGAGCATTGGCACACCCTGTCGCATAGTGGCAGGCAGTGTGCGTGTGGAGAGAGTGAGTCAGAATGGTGGTGGGAGTGAGAGCAGGAGTGGGGGTGAGAGCAGGAGTGGGGGGAGTGGGGGTGAGAGCAGGAGTGGGGGTGAGAGCAGGAGTGGGGGTGAGAGCAGGAGTGGGGGTGAGAGCAGGAGTGGGGGTGAGAGCAGGAGTGGGGGTGAGAGCAGGAGTGGGGGTGAGAGCAGGAGTGGGGGTGAGAGCAGGAGTGGGGGTGAGAGCAGGAGTTGGGGTGAGAGCAGGAGTGGGGGTGAGAGCAGGAGTGGGGGTGAGAGCAGGAGTGGGGGTGAGAGCAGGAGTGGGGTTGAGAGCAGGAGTGGGGGTGAGAGCAGGAGTGGGGGTGAGAGCAGGAGTGGGGGTGAGAGCAGGAGTGGGGGTGAGAGCAGGAGTGGGGGTGAGAGCAGGAGTGGGGGTGAGAGCAGGAGTGGGGGTGAGAGCAGGAGTGGGGGTGAGAGCAGGAGTGGGGGTGAGAGCAGGAGTGGGGTTGAGAGCAGTGAGAGCAGGAGTGGGGGTGAGAGCAGGAGTGGGGGTGAGAGCAGGAGTGGGGGTGAGAGCAGGAGTGGGGGTGAGAGCAGGAGTGGGGGTGAGAGCAGGAGTGGGGGTGAGAGCAGGAGTGGGGGTGAGAGCAGGAGTGGGGGTGAGAGCAGGAGTGGGGGTGAGAGCAGGAGTGGGGGTGAGAGCAGGAGTGGGGGTGAGGTGGAGAGCGGCAGGGAATGAAGTTGTGGTGGGCAGGGCACTGACGAGGGCGTGGAAGGCGTGGAAGGCGGGGGAGGGCAGATAGGAGAAGGTGGTGCCGCTGTCCAGCATCACCCCCCCGTACGGCCCCTCCTCCCACACCGCTGCCGCCACCGCCACGCGTTGCTGCCCCACCACCATCTCCTCCACACTCACTATGTAGTACGGCGTCTCACTGTAAAGTGGCCAGGGCGGATGGCAGGGCAGTGCACAGGGGGAACAAAGTCACTTGCCTGTTTTGGACAGCAAGCAACGGTGAGAGATGAGGCGGCTGGGTTGGGACAAGAATGGTGGCGCGAGGGAAGACGAATGGCAGGGGTTCAGGGAGTGTTACCGACGTGTCCCTTAGGCCACACGGCCAGCAGCAGCACCCACCTGGCGGAGGGCAGCAGCACCCACCTGGCGGAGGGCAGCAGCACCCACCTGGCGGAGGGCAGCAGCACCCACCTGGCGGAGGGCAGCAGCACCCACCTGGCGGAGGGCAGCAGCACCCACCTGGCGGAGGGCAGCAGCACCCACCTGGCGGAGGGCAGCAGGGGCGTCCACACGGTGCCGGGCAGCTCCTCCGCGCGCCCCAGAATCAGCTCGCCCCCCTCCCCCTCCGCATCTACAATCCCCCCTTCCTCTCCCCCTTCGCCCTGCCCTCCCCCCTGCTCATGCGCCGTGCCTGCCTGCTCCCCCTGCCCGCCACCATGACTGCTCGCATTCGACCCATCAGCCGCATGCTCAACAGCAGCATCAGCAGCAGCAGAGGGGGCAGGAGCGGGGCGAGCGGGGGCGGCGAAGCAGAGGGAGAAGACGTCGTCGTGCATGACCCCGGCGCGCACGAGCTGGTTGGGCAGCGACAGCGCGTCCCGCCCCAGCCCCACGATGCCGTCCGCGCGCTGCAGGTACAGGTCGCCCGTCTCCTGCAGCTCACACCTGCCAGGGGGGACGGTGCAGGACAAAGGTCGTACGGTGTGGGAGGCGGGCCGCAAAAACGTCAGGGACTTGCAGGTAGCGCGGCGGGGGAACGGGGGTGCATTTGCGAGGGGAAGCAGGGGCACAAAGGGGTCCCTCGTGTGCACCCCACACGTGGGGGACAGGGGGACACGGGGTTGGCAGCATGGGGACACGGGGTTGGCAGCGTGGGGACACGGGGTTGGCAGCATGGGGACACGGGGTTGGCAGCATGGGGACACGGGGTTGGCAGCATGGGGACACGGGGTTGGCAGCATGGGGACACGGGGTTGGCAGCATGGGGACACGGGGTTGGCAGCATGGGGACTGGTGGAAGCTCTCCCACACACGGCATGTGTGGGCGAGGTGGGTGCGGACGCTCTTCTGTGGAGCGTGGAGGAGGGGGAGGGAGGCAGTGGTGGTGTGTGGGAGCGTTGAGAAAGCACGAGGGCAGCAATTGAGGGGGGTGAGCTCACCCGAAGACGAGTCGGGGGCCATCCGGTACAGCCTGCTCTGCCACCCGTGACCCGCCCTCTCCCTCGCCTCCTCCCCCTTCACCCCCCGCCCCCTCACCCACCCATGCTTCCCCCACGCCGCCCTCTCCACTGCCCACCCCCACCTCCGCTGTGCCCGCCAGCAGCACTCTCTCGCCCGCCCGCCCTGCTGCTGCCGCAGGCAGAGAGGAGGACGACGCCCGAGAGGCGTTGAGAGGCGCAGCTGCGGCGGCAGGAGGTGTAGGCAGGGAAGGTGAGCGCGCCTCGTGCACCCCCGCTGCTGGCACGTGGGGCTGTGCAGCAGCAGGGTGTGGCGCGGAGGGGGAGAGGGGGGGCGGGGCGAAGGAGAGGAGGTCGGAGGCGAGGAGGCCGCGCGTGGAGCTGGCCTCGGCGTACACGCCGTGGTACGTGCACAGCCCCGTGGGCGAGCAGGCATGTGTGAGGCAGCGGGGGTGCGCACAGGGGATGGTGGCGTACGACGCTGAGAGCGCCGGGTTGAACCGCGGATCCTGGTCGGGCCGAGGGGGTTGCCACGGGTTGGAAGGGCGAGAAAGGACAGGTTGGGAGAGCGAGGGGCGAGAGAGGAAAGGGGGAGAGGGAAGGTGAGAGTGGGGGAGGGTGGGCGGGAGCAGAGAGGCAGGTTGGGTATGGAGTGGGGTCGGTGGATGGGTTCATGCACCACCTTGCAGCGCCACCAGTGCTGCGCGCCCACCAGTGCTGCGCGCCCACCAGTGCTGCGCGCCCACCAGTGCTGCGCGCCCACCAGTGCCCACACAAACTCCTCTCCTCCAACTGATAGTTACCGCATCGCACCTGGTGGTTACCGCGTCGCACCTGGTGGTTACCGCAGTGCGTGCAGGCAGCGCAGGGCACGTAGGTGATGCTGCTGCCCGTGTCCGCTATCAGCGCGAACCGCTGTGGCGGCCACCCCAGGTACAGCGTCACGTAGTAGTACCTGGGGGAGGGGAGGGATGGGAGGGGCGCATGAAGGTGGGGCGGGTTTGGGGTTGAAGACATGGTGGGGCGAGGAAAGAAATGGTGGGGCGAGGAAAGAAATGGTGCACAAAACTGTGGGTAAGGCTAGGGTGTGTGAGTGGGAGAGTATCCGAGGAATGGAGGCGCATGAGCAGCAGCTGAAGGCTAAACCCCATCACCGCCGCCACCTTTGTAACTTCAACTCCCCCATCCCTGCCCTGTCTCCCCCACTCATCCTAGCCCCACGCCTCTGCACCCGCCAGTCACTCACTGCAGCCCCACTCACCCTGCGCGCAACTCACTCACCCCAGCTCCAGAACGGACCCCCGCAGCTCAAGCGGCAGTCCCCGCAACTGCCGCCTCCGCGTTCCTCCCTCTCCGCCTCCCCCCGCTCGCGGCGCCTCCTCTGCCCCCGAACGCTCGCCCCCGCCCGTCTTCCGCTCCCGCGAGTGCGCTCGGCGCACCTGCCGCTGCAGGGGCAGCACGATGGGCCCTGCCGTCCCCGCAACTGCTTCTCGCTTCCGCCCCGCGCGCGACGTCCCCCCTTCCCCGTCTTCCCGCCCTCTCCGCGTCAGCGACTTCGCGATCGCCGCCGCCCACGGCGCGCGCGAGGCAACCCGCCTGGAAGCCGCCGAGCCTAATTCTATAGCCGAATCCGAATCCGAGCCTAAGGTGGTGGCGGAACTGAATAGTTTCCCTGGGAGGGCTCCCTCGCGGGTGGACGGCCATGCCGCCGCGTCCGCTCTGCCTGCGCCACTCGCCGCGCCTCTCGCGGCAGCGGTCGCGGGCAGGCGGAGGTTGGCGTCCCCGGATAGCACAACGCGGGATCGCACGAGCGCGCGCGGCGACGCGAGGAGGAGAAGGAAAACGGCGGGGAGCGCGAGTAACGGATGGAGAAGGCGGCGGGGTCGCGCGTGAGTGAGCCGCGTCGCGAGAAGCGTTTCGCGCCGCCAGCGACGAGCGACGACTCGCCGTCGAGTTGTCGCCACCGTTTGCTGCCATGTGGGGCGTGTCGCGCCGGCGTCATCCATGCGCCTCCCCGCACCCCTTTCTACCGGGCCCGCGCACCTGCTGCGCTGCAGAACTCGCGTGAATCTTGCCACGTGGCCGACGCGGACTAGGTGTCACTGTCACCACTAAGGGAACGGCTGCGAGTCGCGAAAGCTAGTGAGCAGCGCGGCGCGCAGGAGTGGGTAAAACGCGAATCTAGTGGTGCGCTGACTGCTGTCGCGCAGCCTGACAACGGCTCACAGCGCTACGGCGCATACTTCAGCACTACGGCTTGTTACAAAAATCGCGGCGCGTTTCTTAAGCACTATGGCACTTTTTCGGCACTATGGCGCGTTGTCAGCACTGCGGCGCGTTACAAGCATTGCGGCGCGTATTATGAGCACTACGGCACGTTATCGGCACTATGGCGCGTTTCCAGCAGTGCAGCGCGTTTTCAGGACTCCTGGCTCGCGCAAGATAGCGAGGAGCGCGTGGGTGTAGTGCTGGTGGGAGGTCAGTTGCAGGCAAGGGTTGCTGGTGGAGGCTGAATGGAGTGTCAGGGACCAAGGGGAAGGATACCTATTTGAGGGCAGCAGAGGCAGAGCCCAACCAACTCCACTCCTCGTATCGTAGCGGCGCTGCTGTCCTCTCGCCCCTTGTTTCACCCGAAATAGCATGCAGTGAAACCTCCCATTCCATGTTTTAGATTGGTGCGTAACAGTTTGAACCATTGAAACTCACATACAGCTCCAGAGTGCACAGCATCGCACACCACCGCTTCTGTTGAACCGAAATTGAGCGAAGCCTGACCCGCCTGCCGCCAAGGTCGACAGACAGATCTGACGGCCTTGGATTGGGACATCGCCTCATCGACATGCGAAATTCGTCCGCACCGCAACCAAGCATCGCAGACTCGCAGCGCTTCGTGGGGACAAGGCGGAGTATGGGATGGGAGAAAGGCGTGCCAGCGCCAGTGGCGCCGTGTGGTTGGCTGGCAAAACTCTCCCTTGGGTGTGACACCTGGGCCCTGTTCGGCGGGAAACAAACTCAACTGCGAGATCCGTTAAAAGTGAATATCGAATAGTTCCGCACGGCAGTTCCATTGTGTTCTTTACATCAATGCATGATAATTCTACTTGCAATGGACTAACAAGTAGTGTGAGCCAAAAGGCAGGGAGCCACAAGATCATGCAATATCCTCTGCCGTGTCAGAATGAACAAGAGTGATTGCACTACGAAAGAGTTGGGTACAAGTAGGAAACCCTAAACTTACTGTACCCCATAGTAACTACCCCACTACAGCCTAAACAAACTATAGTAGACATGACATTTAACACACCCCCATAGGCAAAGTGGGGGAGAGCAAGGGGTCACAAGACCAGTCAAGAAAGGCAAAGCAGGCTCAAGGTGGATCACAACGTCACCACACACTCTGAGCACAAGCAAAGGGCCACAAGGCCAGTCTACATGCAGAGGCATATATGCAACACAAACAGCAGAGGGATCTCTACCTAGCAAAGCAAGCATGCAGGTATATATATATAGATCACAGTACAAGCAAAGCCTACAGCAAGTGAGGAAAAGTGGGCACAAGCCCTAGCATAGTGCAGAAACGCTGATGATCACCGGACTGAAGTGCCTTGGTGAATATATCAGCAGTGTTGGCCCGAATGGCCACGTAACGCAGACGAAGCTGACCACGCCGCTGCAACTCTCGAGCCAGGAAGTAACGCAGAGCGATGTGCTTTGTTCTGTGCTCCAGTCTGTGCTCCTCACACAAGGCAATGGTAGCCTTGTTGTCGACGTACAGCACTGGAGGAGAACGAGGCCGCTCTCCCAAGTCAGTCAGCAGGTAGGTGAGCCAGCGTAACTCCTGTGCAGCCATGGCTGTGGCGTAGATCTCAGCCTCACAACTGGAGCTGAGAAATGAAGACGAACGTGTAGAACGCCAAGAAACTGAACCAGAGCCAAGGCTGAAGGTGTAACCCTGTGACGACCGCTGCGTAGCCTGGTCGTCAACCCAAGAAGCGTCTGAGTGCCCAGTGAGGACAATTGAGCTCCTCCCTCCAAGCACGAGTCTCATGCCTGATGTACTGCACAAGTAGCGCAGTACCCTCTTAGCAGCATCCATGTTCACCTTTCGGTGCCGACCAGGAGCCACGTAGCGAGCCAGAAGGCCAAGAGGGTACGCGAGGTCAGGACGAGTGCAAGTCATCAGGTACATGAGACAGCCAACTAGCTCTGGGTAAGGACCACTCGGCTCTACGGACTCGTCCGAAGGTGGAGCTGAGGGCGAGTGACCTGTAGCCAGAGGAGTGGCCTGTGCCGAGGACCAGGTGAAGCCGAAGCGCTGAAGGACCTGCTGCACCATGTGTGACTGAGTCAGTGTGATGGTGCGGCGTGCTCTGTCCCGGGTGATCTGCAAGCCAAGGTAGCTGCGCAGTTCACCCAGGTCTGTGCACGTGTGTCTCTTCTGCAACTCCGACTTCACGTGGGCGAGAGCCTCAGTATCAGCAGTGGCAAAGACCAAGTCGTCGACGTACACGAGGATGTAGAACGGCGGCAGCGAAGTGTCGGTGCGCAGAAACAGCGACGGGTCAGCAGTAGAAGGCGCGAACCCAAGAGCCGCAAGTGTAGTCCTCAGTGTGACGTGCCACTCACGTGGCGCTTGGCGGAGACCGTAGACCGGCCGACGGAGGCTCCACTGGGTACCAGGAGGGAACGACCCAGTGAAGCCAGGAGGGCGGCGCAGCCAGATCTCCTCGTGCAGGCTGCCCTGCAAGAAAGCTGTGCTGAAGTCAAGAGAGTGAAGCTCGTAGTCACGCTGAGCGGCAACATGCAGTAGCACCCGAAGAGTGGTCATCTTCGGGGTGGGGGAGAAGGTCTGGAAGAAGTCTACTCCCTCTCGCTGACTGAAGCCTCGAGCAAAGTAACGAGCCTTGAAGACAGGCGGAGAACCTGGCGGCCGCTTCACCCTGAAAATCCACATGCCACTGACGATGTTCGCCCCAGGAGGGGGAACCTCGTCGACGTAAGTGCCAGTGGACTTCCAAGATGCCATCTCTGCGTCCATGGCTGACTGCCATTGAGAGGAGTACTCACCCGCGATCGCCTCAGCGTAAGAGCGCGGGGTCGGGATGTCTGGTGCATCCGGGTCTCCCTCAGGTGCAATCAGCATGGACACGAGATGAGGTACAGCGGCGGCAAAGCACTCAAACTCCTCCTGCCTGTCCTTAAGGACGTCCGTGCCAAGAGCACACTCACCCCTGACGGACGGAGGACAGACAGACTCAGACTCAGCAGCAAGACTCGCAGCGTAGTCTAGACGACAGTGAGCAGCAAAGTCGACAAGCTCAGCAACTAAGGCAGACGCAGCAGCTGACTCAAAGGAAGGGTCAGTGACAGCAGTGGCCAGGAGACGCGTGACAGTAGGACTAGCAGCACGAAGAGAGTCAGACTCCGGGTCAGCAAGGGTAGGAAGAGAGGACGCAGGAGGAGAAGGCAGCGGGACACGCTGTGGAGCAGTGGAAGGACGTTACGCCATCTGTTGAGTGCCTGGGACAGCAGGAGGACGCTGACGCAGGACACGACGACCAGTGCGAGCAGCACGAACAGGTGACGCAGACCGAGACTCAGGCGACACAGGACGAGACTCAGGCTCACGATGCTCTGTAAGACCGCCTGTCGGACCAGTGTAGGGAGAAGGACCAGGGAGTGGCGAGGCAGGCGGTAGCTGTGACAGCGACTGGACAGGCGGAGGACACTCTAAGGAGGGAGTAGGACAAGGAGGAGGCGGCTGACCAAGAACCTGCTGAAGGAGGGGAACGAAGTACGGCTATGGCCGTGAAGTGCCCCCAGAACCAGCAGAGACAGCACCAGAACCTCCAGCAGCAGCTCCAACTCGCTCAGCACCACCAGCAGCTCCAGTACCTCCAGCAGCACCAGCAGCACCTCCAGCAGGACCAGCACTAGCAGCACCTCCAGCAGCACCAGTACCTCCAGCAGCACCAGCCCCAGTACCAGCAGCACCACCAGCAGCTCCAGCAGCTCCAGTACCTCCAGCAGCACCAGCAGCACCTCCAGCAGGACCAGCTCCAGCAGCTCCAGTAGCACCCCCAGTCCCAGCAGCTCAAGTACCGCCAGTACGAGCACCTCCAGGACCAGTGGCTCCAGCACCTCCAGCGCCAACCCGAGGGTCAGCAGCAACACCAACTCCAGTAGGCTCAGCGCCCTCAGCTCCAGCTCCAGTAGAACCTCCAGCTCCCACAGCACCACGGCGGCGGCGACAGTACCGAGAGTACCACTCACGCAGCTGCTGGGAAGAGAGAACGCCCCCAGGCGCAGCACCCCCAGGCTCAGCACCTCCAGACTCAGCACCCCCAGGGACAACACCCCCAGTCTCAGCACCCCCCGGCTCAGCACCCGCAGTCTCCGCACCCTCAGGCTCAGCACCCCCAGTCTCCGCACCCCCAGGCTCAGCACCCCCAGTCGCAGTACCCCCAGACCCAGCACCACCAGGCTCAGCACGCTCAGGCTCAGCACGCTCAGTACCTCGCGCAGGACCAGAGTCGACAGCTACCTCGACAGGCTCGACCGGGTCTACCTGGGAAACACCTGAGGGAGCAGGACCCTGGGGAGGCAGGGGGTCTACCGAAGCAGCACCTGGCGTGAGGAAGAGCGGCGGAGGGGGGAGCGGGGCAGTGCGGTAGGGGAAGAGACGGTAAAAGGGGACCGACTCGTCAAACGTGACGTCCTGAGAGGGGAAGACACGGCGCGAGGTGGGGTGGTAAAACTGCTAGCCAGGCGCGTCAGGGACAAAGCCCAGGAAGACACAAGGAACGGCACGGGAGGAGAGCTTGTCCGCGGACATATCGCGGACAAAGGCACGAGATCCCCAGACACGGAACACAGACGCATCGCCAACCGCTCCCGTCCAACGCAGTGTCGGCGAGGTCTCCGGAACGGAGACATGGGGCCAGAGGTTGAGCTGATGCGCGGCGTACCGGACCGCAAACGGCCACAGAAAATGGGGGGCAGCCGC